ATTACTTCTCTAAAAATAAGTAAGGTATTATTTTTGAGATTTAGTTTTAAGAAACTACACTCTAATCTACCTAGAATATATAGGGTGAGAAGGTTGTATCTCAGTTTTTCATGGGATTATTTCAGTACCATTTATTAAATAAAGTTTTCTTCATTGCCCTATATAATGATTACTTTATACATTCCTCATCTGGAATATTCTTTTTGAGCCTTCTACCTCCTTTTCCTGCTTGTCCAAATCCTGTTCACTCTTCAAATCTATCTCAGCTGCCGGGGCTTCGTAAAATCTTTCCAATACCCGATTTCCCTGCTCTATCCCTACCTGAGATATCTTTTTTTAATTGCCACAGATCTATATGTAGATGTTTCTCATGATACTTCATTTTTTCCTTGAATGTTTTAATTGCTACAGGAAGAATAGATACTTCTAGAGAGTGCAGTCAATCTTTTTCATCCTAGCATCTCTTCAGGTATTTATTTTGGTACTATATACATAATAGACTTTCCAGTAAATACTTGGTGTGAGATTTTTTTTTCTTTTTATTATTGGACCATTGTGATTTCTCTGGTCTCTTCCCCTGACTCTTCATCTGTATGAATTCCACTCAGTTTTAATTATTAATGTGTAGGACTGGTTCTTTTCTTCTGTTTTTAAAAAGATTTTTTATAGACTTACCTGTTTCTTTTTTTCTCAAATGGACATAGAATAACCTTTTCAAGTTCTTAAAGCTTACTAAGGGGGCGCCTGGGTGGCTCAGTCAGTTAAGCAGCTGCCTTCAGCTCGGGTTGTGATCGCAGGGTCCTGGGATGGAGGCCCACATTTTGCCTGGCTCCCCGCTCAGCAGGAAGCCTGCTTCTCCCTCACTCTTGCCCCTCCCCATAGCTCTTGCATGCATGCTCTCTCTCTCAAGTAAATAAAATCTTTTTTAAAAAAAAATAACTTAGATATTTGCTGGAGTTATATAATAATGCAGTTTCATAATATTGTCTGATCTGGGAACGCGGTCAATAGGCCCTTTAATTCAAGTGCTCTTTTTCGGTTTCTCTGATGGCTTTAAGATTGCTTTGTGTATGTCAAGGGGAGCTTAAACAAATGGAATTGAATTTGATTTTATCATATAGCCAAATGAAGGAGGAATGCAGTGTAGGTTGCATAACCAGTTAGATTTATGTGTCATCATATTAAATGCTGCAAAGCTATAAATGTGGTTGACAGAATGCTCTGAAGTCATAGCTTTTATGTTTTATGTTTTGCTGGAGGCAAAGGAATTTTAACACTTACTTGAAGAACCTTTAGGTTTGCGGATTTTAGATGCCTGGATTATCTAATTTACATCCTATCTAATATTCAGTACTTATGGCCTGACATTTGATTTCTAAAGGTAAAAACAATTACAAGTGTTTTCTTATTTCTTGATTTATTAAGAATTAGACAAAACCAATAGAAGTTTTCCCCATGGATTTATGCAAGTGGCACCGGTTTTGCTCCTCTGGTTAATGAGAGTGGCCAGCCAAGCCACTTGTTTTGTTTATTTCTGGGTGGCTTTGGTCTGCCTTAGGGAAGGAAGTTTGTTTTTGGCAGAAAAAGCAAAAATGTGTTTATTCATTCCATTTGTAGTAACATTGATCCAAGAGGAGCTTTTGAGGAAAACCAGAATGGTTAGGCTTTGAACATAAATAGCTCCCATTCATCTCCTACCTGATAGAAAAAAAGCAAAGATTAGGATTAATAATATATAAATTATAGACAAATCCTAGAGCAAGAGTTGCAAACTGACATTTCATCAAACAAAAATTAACCCTTAGACTGTTCTTTTGGCCTACTGATTATTTCTAAAGCTTAATTAGTTGATAACATCTAAAAATTGTTTTACCTGAATATCCAGCCCCGGATCACCTGTGTTTTTAGCATGGCATGTTAATAGCCATGGCACCCCTTAGATTAAGCATAGACATTTGTTTGCCCTAGTTAGCCCTTCTAATGTGGCTCCACCCAACCCAGATGCATTTAACTTTGCAGCCCCTGGAGGCTGTTGGATTAAGAAGTAATAGTAGACCTAAGACTGCTAATGCAGCTGAACCCTCCACTTTGAGTTAACAGAAGATAGAATAGTAGGTGTGAAGACTTTAGGTAGAGAGAGCCGTAGTGGAATTTGGGACATGTGAGAGAGAAGGTAGTTGAGAAGAATCCAAGGTTTTTACCTGAGCAACTGGAAGGATAGAGATGCCATCAACTGAGTTAAGGGAGACTAGGTAGATAGGTTTAGAGAGGGAAGATGAGTAGTTTAGTTTTGACATGTTAAGTTTGAGGTATCTATTAAAACATCCAAGAGGAGATACTGAGTAGGCAGTTACTAGGAGATGGAGACAAATGTCTAGACTGGATAAGTAAATTTGAGATATGTAGTTGATACATGAAGCCATGAAATGAAATCACAAAGGGAGTGGAGGACCTAGGACTGTGTTCTGGGCACATCAGCATTTGGGGATCTGAGAGAGAAGTTCAGCAACAGAGATTAAGAAAGAGCATCCAGTGAGTTAGAACGAAAAGGAAGGGAGTATGGTGTCCCAAAGGACAAGTGTCCTGATCTGGTTTCATCCCAAAAGCAGAGCTTGAGACAGGGATTTTTTAGGCAGATAATTTATTTGGGAACCTGTTAACAAGAAACAGAAGTTGGCGGGGTGCTTGGGTGACTCACACGGTTAAGTGTCTGCTTTCGGCTCAGGTCATGATCCCGGGGTCCTGGGATCAAGCCTTGCATCAGGCTCCCTGCTCAGTGGGGAGCCTGCTTCTCCCTCTCCCTCTCTCAATATCTCTCTCTCTCACAATAAATCAATAAAATCTTAAGGAAAAAAAAAGAAACAGAAGTTGGAGAATTGGGGCACATGAAACCAGGGAGGAAAGAAAGTCAGTGCAAGGGTCTGTGATCGACCTGGTCACATCTCTGAGTTCGTGGGGCTTGATCCTGAGGAAGTCCTCTGAGAAGACACGAAGTATATGCCTCTGGATGGGAAGGAGGGGGTATTTATATACCAGATCCCATTCCCCAGTGGTCAGGGGTTGCTCATAGGGTGTTGATGTTAACATCTTCACCCTCCCAGGTTGGGGTTCGTACATTCCAGGATGGCCGAAGAGTTCCTGTAAGCGTCTCTTAGAGCAAAACCTGTGAGCAGAAAGTGAGCCCCAGTAGTGCAGCTAAGGGGAGGTGCCTCAGCTGGAGTGAAATTGTGAGGCAGCATGTTAGAGGTATCCCATACAGCCTTGTATGTTCCATTAAGCACTTGTCATTTAGTCCATTCTACTGCTAAGTTTTCAAGATGGTGGCTGGCCACAATCACTACAGTAGACTTATAATAGGAGGGTTAGTGGAATAATGTTCATTTTTGCAGTCCTACACCACTCATTCTAGATTTGCCTTACCTTCAGCCAGCACTTGAACAGGTCAAGGCATTGTCCTGGTTCAGTGACACAGACCTTCTTCTCCAAGGGATCAATGCCTGTAGTTGATTTATCATTGTTGGGTCATAATTGTTGCAGCTGCTCATTTATAGTTATTACTGAGCATGGCAGCCCCAGTCGAATCCCCTAGGTTCTGGATAGATTTCCTCCTGTCCCCATTGTGTGGCAGCAGCCGTAAGTTGTTAGGGTCACTTCACAGGACTCCACAATATGGTAACCCTTTCCTTAGCATGCTGGTCCAGTAAGGAGTCCAAGATAACCAGGTGATAGTTGCTTCAGAATACTTCTGTGTCTTTTGGCAGAAACCACTGTTCTCCTCCCCCACTATCAGAATTTCTAATCCAGTGAACCTGAAGGTTCTCAATCCTGTTTCCATGTGTTGGTTCCAGGGCTTTTTCCTCCCTCCCTCCCTCCTTTATCTGTCAGAGACACAGCACCACATTTCAGCCTTTAGAAGACAGTGTAAGAGTCAGATCACTTACCATCTTGGAAGGCAGTGCCCCGTCCCCTCTAAATGTTACTAAGCACATAGAAATTATGTGTTTGCTAAGTCCAGGACTCTGGTCATAAAATAAACAATTAGGGAAAGAAATTTTTATGTAAAGGTGAGTAGTTACATCAGTCATTGTCCCCCCACTGTATGTGAACTCAGCTAGTTTACTGTAGTGGCTGTAGTTGCTTCTAGTTGTAAAGTTAGAATAAAATCATTTTGAAGATTTAATTTTACCTAAAATGTTTTAGGATTTGCAGATACCATAGTAGTATTAGTAAACCAGTCCTACAGAGGACTTGGTGGTTCCCTTGAGTTTTGCCAGATGTACGTCTGGCAAATAATAGGTTATTGTCATGGAATATAAGGATCTTAGTACCTTTAGCAAAACTGGTATTTTTAATACATTGAAAGGAAATGAACGTAAACTATGATAATAGTATAGAAATATATCTCTTTTGGTAATTCTGGCCCCTGTTGTAAGAATAAAGACGAGCGGGGCGCCTGGGTGGCTCCGATGGTTAAGCGTCTGCCTTCGGCTCAGGTCATGATCCCAGGGTGCTGGGATCGAGTCCTGCATCGGGCTCCCTGCTAGGTGGGGAGCCTCCTTCTCCCTCTGCCTCTGCCTCTCTCTCTCTCTCTCTGTCTGACTCTTAGGAATAAATAAATAAAACATTTAAAAAAAAAAGAATAAAGACGAGTTACAAATTTTCTTCCCTTGCTGTTCCTGCTGCATGATATGATGAGATCTATGTACTTCTCTTGATAGAGATTGTAGTCTTTGAGTGTCTTGAGGGTGGCAATTAGGGTGTCTTATCTAAGCCTATTGGTATTTCCCAGGGCTTAACATAATGGCTTACTCTTAGTAGGTTCTCTATAAATAGTTGTTGATTTAATTCAAGGAGGTATATGTCCGTTGATATACATACACACACAAGTGTGTATAGCGTATGTATGTGATAACTTTATTAAAGTTAGTTTTAATAAAATTAAACATGTTTTAAAGTATAATATGTTTTAGACTTTCTTCCTTTTTCCTTTCTTTAAACAGATAGAAGGACAAGAACAGAATCACCAGCACTGGCTGAAGGTAAATATGTCTTTGGAGGAAATGATAATTCAGATAAAAATGAAAAGTTATGATTTAAAAAACTACATCGGCTCAATATAATTTAAGGAAGATGTTCTGTATATAATATTGAACTGCTAAAAATGTCTTTAGGAAATACCCTATACTGTTTAGTTTCTTAGAGTAGGAAATAGTGGGGAAAATGTAAATTAATTAGAACTTTTTTTTTCTACAGCTTTCTTTCAGTAGGAGAGGTATGTGTTTTTCTTTGAATTCCTTTTTAAGTCATTTTAGTTATCACCAGTATAGTAAACAGGAAAGGTCTAACCCATAATTCTAGTTGTTTAATATGTATTTGCTAGAAGGGAAGACACTTTTACATGCTTTCTTCAATAAGAATTCTAGCTGTTATTGATTTTGGTCCTCTTGAAAAAGTCTTAGAAGAACACAGTAGCTACCACAAAAGTTACTGATACAGGGGTCCTGAGTACTTAAACATTTATAATCCTGTAATTGTTTTAATTATAACAAGTTAATAGGTATTTAAAAATGTAATTTTTCTGTAGGTATATTTTGTGTTCTTCAAGTGAAAATGATCGGCTTAAAATCTCTTTCTGTGCTCTTTCTAGTTATAAAAAGAGATATTTACATTTCAAAACTTGCCTGTCATTTTACTAGAACTGATAAGACCGTTATCGCGATGGTCTTTTGGAACTGTAATTACCTCACCTGCTCTGTGTATGTTAGTGCTGGAGTTCTCAACCTTTTTTTTGTGCCATGGGACCTCTGGTAATCTGGTGAAGCCTGTGAATCCCTTCCCAGAATAATGATTCTAAAAATGATTCATGATTTTATGAAGTAAAACACATAAGATTAACAAGGAAATTAGTTATATTGAAATACAGCTAACAAATATTAAAAATACAAATTTTTGATAGAGTAATATATATGCTTCTCACACTAGAGAATAAGCTTTAGCAACAATTCTGCTAAATACTGTAATTTTAAATAGTGTTAAGTTTGTAGTAACTCTTGTATAATATGAAAATACCTGTGATTTCTATTGATGATAAGTTTATAGGTATTTCTGATACTACTGTGCTTTGTTGCCTAATCTTTATTGAAGGAATTGCAAAACTTCACATAGAGGTTAGTGAAAAGGTTCCCATCCAAGTTCACAGGTCACTGAATTCTTTCTCTGGACCCCAGATTAAGAACTTCTGTTAATGAAAAGTCAGACCTTTCTTCCTCCATCATATTTGAATAAGTGTAGTTTTTTATGTTCTGTATAACTAATCTTTTAAAAGTAGAGTTACATAGTTGTTTCTTAAGAAATATCCCAGTGGTATAGGCTAGAAGTTCTTGAAATAGCTTTGAAGAAACTTCTGTTTACTGGTCAATTATCAGAGAAACAGTGGCATATTCTGTGGAAAAGGTAGTCGAAGATAAGTGGTAAGCCTTGGAGAGTGCCCACCTTCAGAGAATTCACATTCTGTTTCAAGGAACATGAAATTAACATGTAAAAAATAAAATATCAGCTTGAGATGTTGAAAGCTTAATGAGAAAAATGTCGTAATTTCCATAGGAAGGATGCACATCATAAGGTCTGATGCTTGTGTTATGGAATCACAAAAAAAGGTCAAGACTTGTAAAAAGTCACCAAATGTTTTACAGTTAATTAAGTAGTATGAACTGTACAATGATCATGTACCAGCATAAGCTAGGAAGAGCCTAGAATGGTGTCACGAAATTTGACAATTAAATGGTCATTCAGCACCTTGTCACCAACTACCAATAAAGGGACTGGAAGATCTTTTGAAGCTTGGCTGATAGCAAAAACAACACTATTGTTTTGAAGGGGACACGGTGGGGCGTCTGACTGTGGGGTATTTTTTGGTTGTGGCACTTGATTTGTTCTGTCAATGTGATCTGCCCGGATGGCATATTTTAAAGATGTTCTCAAAGGTTTCACTGTCAGGGTCGTTAGATTAATCACCACTTTTAAAAACTAATTGGCTGCTTTTGCCAAGTCCCCAAGTTTCTGTAGTTCTCAGTTTCTTCCTATAAAATTAGAGAACTGAGCTACATGATTTCAGGTCCTCCCATGAACCCTGTATTCTGGGCTGATTTTCTACCTTTTCTGAGACCCTTCACTTCCTTTCTCTTTCTCCCTACCAGCAACGTTTGAAATACGGTAAAAATACTCAAAGTTTTTAAGTGATTTGAACTTTGGTTTATATAAATATTGCCCTAGTAAAAGCTATACAGAACTTTAAAAGCTGTCATTATTAGATTAGTATACTTAGTTCAAAACGTTTTTATGATGTATACATTCTGCATTTTGCTCTACTGGAGTCTTTTTAGCCTTATAAGCGATACTGATTTTTAAATGTAGGAAGATTATTCAAGTACATATTTTTAAGATTATGTGATTACCAGGAAGAGGAAATTTATATTTTGTTTTTGTATTCTGTTTGATTATGGTAAGTTTGGAGGAGTTATATTTAAGAGAATGGTTTTAATTGAAGTTCAGGAACTGTTAATGTCACTGTACTGAATTCCTTTAGCATGCTGGGCTCAAACAGAAAGACCTGACAAATGGTAGGAAAATATTTAAGGACATTTCTTAGTTAGCATCTGTCATCTTTTTCTAGTCAATGTTGTTTTTCTTAACATTTTTTTTCTGTGAGAACTTTATTCCTAATTTAGAAATTTTAGTGCTAGTATTGAATCAATTCCTTTCAGGAAGACTTGAAAGTTTTAGTTTTCTTTACTCTTTTTGGCCAAATTATGTGTATTTTCATTTATGACTAAGAAGCAAATGGTGGCAAAATGGCTAAGAGAACTGTTAGGAGCCAGATTTGCCTGAGTGAGAATTCTGGCCTCATTTGTTGACCTTGAGAAAGTTACTTAATCCTTTTGACCTTCAGGTTGTTCAGAAGTAAAATGAGGATTGTAGTGCTAGACAACCTCCAAAATGGTGGAGGATTTTATAAGATAATATTGTGTATATATTACTTAGCATTGTGTGTGGCACACAGAAAGCTCTCAGTCACTCATTTTTACTTTCATTTAGTCCTCAAAATGTTCAGGGACCTCTGTAAGGTGCTTGGGATACGAAAGTTAAGTTATAGTCACACTCAGGGCAAGATGGTTCTGTTGCCTTTTGTTCCTTCAGTCTGAAATGTTTAAGAAGGTCCTTATGATGAATATTTCTGAATATCCCTTTCTGAACTTCATTCTCTTTCAGAAGCTAAATCCTCATAATTACTAGACAGGAGATAGCTTGTCTGTAATTTTTTGCATATGTGAGTATATGTATATAGTCTAATGGGTAACTTTCTTTTGACCTCAGTTTAATATATTTTAAGATATTTCAGTTATTTAATGGGTTGTCAAGTGGCATAGGGACTGTTCAGTTCTCAGAGGCCAGTGAGAACTGAGACCAGTGAGGAGAAATTAACAAATGGGCAAATAATCAGCTTAGTATAAGTTTTGTGTGATTCTTTGTAGGATTCATGTTGGATTAGTTGTGCATCATTTAATCATCAGCTGAAGTTCCTAAAAAAGTTTCTAAAAATTGAAGTCTAAAATTTTTTTATAAAGATTTTATTTATTTATTGGAGAGGGAGCACAAGCAAGGGGGTGGGGGCAGAGGGAGAAAGAGAGGCAAACTCCCCAGTGATCAGGGAGCCCGACTCCGGGCTTGATCCCAGGACCCCGAGATCATGACCTGAGCCAAGGGCAGACATTCGAACCGAGTGAGCCACCCAGGCGCCCCTGAAGTCTAAAATTTAAGTCATTTGAGAATAGAATGAGTCACTCCTGGGCATAGTCATGCAGAATGAAATATTTAAGCAGGGGCTAGTTGGCTGCTTCGCATGGATGTTGTAGAAGAGATACATCCAAAGGCTAGATGGTCAAGTTTGACTTCCATGTTAGCACATGTTGTATTTAGTCTGGGCTGCTATAAGAAAATATAGTAAACTAGGTGGCTTTTAAATAGCAGAAATTTATTTCTCACAGTTCTGGAGGCTGGAAGTCCCAAGAGCAACATGCCAGCATAGATGGGTTCTGGTGAGGCCCATTTCCCGGTTCAAAGCACAGCTATCTTCTTGTGTGTCCTCACCTGGTAGAAAGAGCAACTGAGCTTTTGGGGTCTCTTCTATAAAGGCATTAATTCCATTCATGAGTGCTCCACACTGATGACCTGATCACCTCTCAAAGGCTTTAATCCCATTGGTTTTTAGGATTTCACATGTGAATTTTGAGGGGACACAGACGTTCATGTTCTGTCTTTTATACTTTGATGTAGACAAGAAAGAGCTGATATATAAAGTTGGCATGGTAGCAAAACCAGACAAGAATAGAGAAAAAAATGATATGTCAGTCTTACTTATGAAATAATCTAAAGTGAAATATTAGACCAAAACATATTTTTAAATGACTATATAGAGTTGATAGCAGAAATGCAAGAATGGTTTAACAGTGGAAAATGTAGTCATGTAATCTTACTCTTATAATCTCATATTTATAGATTAAATGAAAGAATGGTTGATATTATAAAGATGGGAGTTCTGCCTCAGAATGGTATGTGTATTTGCGTGTGTGTGTGTATTTAATGCAAAATCGAGTCAAAGTCCCATTAAGATTTTTGCAGAACTTGACAGTTACATGGGTGAACAAAGGACCAAGAATAGCCAACGCACTTTTGCAGATGAATCATTACTTAAACGGTAAGCATAGACCACAAAGAAAAGTGGATTACATGTGACAGATGGCACCATAGACGAAGTTAAGACTAGGATACTGCAGTATTACAGATTAGGAGAAAATATTTGCCATATGTATAAGCATCAAAAGATTGGTACTCAGAAGTACTACCTAGAATTCCTAAAGCCCAGCTGTGGGGGATAGCAGAGTGATATATCAGCTGGATTTGAATTAGGAAAACATACCACCCTGGGTATTTCAAACAGGGAATTTAATATAGAGGATTGGTTATGAAGGTATTGGACTAG